TAAACTAGTATGTGAAGGATGCGTATAATATTATACTAACATAAGAGAAATACTTAGATAGTTGTGCAATAACTAGTCATGACATAAAATATCCTATCATATTAAACTAGCATATGAGAGATGTCCATAACATGATACTAGTATGTGAAGATGCACAAATAGTCATGACATAAGTAAAATAAGTAAAGCAAACAAAGCTTATCATTCTAACAAAACATGGAAGTACATAGCATCCGCATATACGCTTGTTACCTCGCATATAAGTTACCTCCAAATACGTAGTACATAGCATACATGATAATTTGGTAAGAATTCCCTCATTGAGGTTAAAGCCTTAAGATTACTTTGGTCCTAGGTTAGCTTCAACCTTCAACTTTGCCTCGCTTGATAGACTTCAATTGTCCATAATCTAGTCAAAGAGTGCTCAACAAAGTCAAATATAGCCATAGGACATGACTCCATAAGCAAAGGATGGGTCTAGGTCAAAGTCAACAAAAAGGTAACCTCGGGCCCACATGGTCAAACTTCAAAATGAAAGCAAAATCTCGGTGACTCATATCCTCTCCACTCCAAGTCTACCATTAGATTTCGAATCTAAGTCCAAATCGATATTGAAATCATCAAAATACACTTTCTTAAGTTTAGGTAAAAACCCTCTAATTTCACCTCTTTGATCAATTGTTTTAGGTGTTAGATTCAATGGGTAATCGTGATATAAATAAAAAAAAATTAAGTTTAGAACACCTATCCTCGATTTAAAGATAAAAACTCCTTAAAAAATTATCTCAATTGAAGCTCCCTAGCTCAAAAAATGATAAAATAAGCTTAAGTTACGAAATGAGACTATTTATATCAAAGAGAAACAATCCTTGGACTAGAGCTATCCCGAGCTTGTTTTGTCACGAGCCTCCTTGCGTCCCTCTGTTAACTGGTGTAATTTTTTTCCGATTTTTTAATGTTTAAAACTCCCCTTGAATGTGATGAAACTCACCTGAGCCCCTCGGGGCCCCTCAAACCATTTTGACAAGTCCAATAATACTATACAAACCTATCCAAGATCATGCAACATAAAACGAAGCAGGTTCAAAATTGAGGTCTAACATCAACTTAATAAATCTTAAAGCTTAAATTTGCATGCAAGTGTATCAAAATGCTCTTGAGCCCTTCGGGATCTGAATTGCTCGTACCTGCAAGTCCTAAAATATCATACAAACTTATGGAAAGTCTCAAATCAAGGATCGAGATGTTAAAATTCAAAAAGACTGATTGGGTCATTATATTCTTTTCCACTTAAACCAATATTTGCCCTCAAACGTGCTAAAAGTTATTCCAAAACAAGCAAATAGCTGATCAATCCCGTCATATATAAGTATGTATTGGTTTTCTTTAAATAGAATCCACATGTCAATCTATTTTCATATTTTTTTTGTTAATTTTTAAAGAGATTGTCGACAATTCATGTGAGATTGTCGACGATTTAAGTACTAACTTTACAATCTAAAAAAAATAATTAAGTATAAGAAATACTTGAGTAATTCAAAATTCACTTAAAAGAAAAAGCTTAAAAAGATAAAAAGTAATTGTGGGGAGCTTTGTGGTATAATAAGTTAGACTACGAAGGGTAGTTTTTGAACGTTACAAAATTCTATCCTTTCAACCAAGTTATGCTAAAAAAAAAAAAATCAAATTAAGAGACTTAAGCTAATATATAAACATCAAGCTGAACTTTTTCATAAATTTATTTATTTGATTGCTTCACAAGCCTTTCTCTAAAAAAAATCAGGAGTGCTAAAGGAGATATTTTTCAAAGAAGAAAAATGGCTGGAATATCACAAGATTGGGAGCCGGTGGTGAATCGCAAAAAACCGCCGACCACCGCCGCAAAAAAATTTCACAAAGACATGGAGCATTATTCACAAAGCCATCTCACAAGATCGAGGGGAACAGACCTCCAAGCCAACAAGAGCCTGATCAACTATCATCTTGAGGCTCCGAGGACGTCGCCAACTCAGGTGGGGGAGAATGTTATGGGCTGCTTTCCAGCCACGCCCCATGACCCCTTGGACGTGTCCTGTGGCGTCCTGACAAGCCTCTCAACGCCCATCGCTACGGTCGACACCGTGGTCTTGGTAACGCCAAGTGACAAGTGCGTGTGTGCCTCTGTCGCCCCACCGGTAGTCAGCACCCAACGGCTAGCAAATGCCAACAATACCGCGCGCACAGACAGTGCCGCGCTCGCAGACAATTGCGCGCGCCTAGACAGTGCCACGCGCGCAGATCCTAACGCCTTGCCAACGCCTGACCGCACCAACAGCGCCGCACGCACAAACAATGTCGCGCGCGCAGACCCTTATGCCAAGTGCCAGCGCCCAGCCGCAGACATATACAAATAGTGTCGCGCGCGCCGACAGCACCGTGCGCAGACCCTGATTCTCAAGACAAAGTTGCTGCCAACGGACTTGTTTCTACCTTGTAGAAGACTAAGTCCTTTTTATTGTAAATATAAAGTAGTTTTACTTCATTTGCTTTCAGTGTGCTTCTACAACTTAGATAGGTCAAGTCATTTAACTTTGGTTTATTTGTTTTAAGCATTATTATGGGGATCAAGCATTCAAACACTCAAGCAAGCAAACATTTCTCTGTACTGGTGTCTCTCCCCCCGACACCGCGTAGTCTTTTGTAATAGCTTTCATTCATTAATGCAATCAACTTTCATTCTCAATTGCTCATTTGAGTTCTCTCAATTGCTCATGACAATGGTTTTCCCGTACGTCACTAACAATCTCGTCTAGTGTACGGAGGGGACCTCAGTTGGTGGACAACAACCGCACTGACATCGGTTGCTTAGCCATACGTCGCCCTTTCAAGGAATCTCAGGAAGGCGCCGCGTAACAATAAGTATGTATTGATTTACTTTAAATAGAATCCACATGTCAATCTATTTTCATATGTTTTTTTGTTAATTTTTAAAGAGATTGTCGACGATTTATGTACCAACTTTACAATCTAAAAAAAATAATTAAGTATAAGAAATACATGAGTAATTCAATATTCACTTAAAAGAAAAAGCTTAAAAAGATAAAAAGTAATTGTGGGGAGCTTTGTGGTACAATAAGTTAGACTACAAAGGGTAGTTTTTGAACGGTACAAAATTCTATCCTTTCAACCAAGTTATGCTTAAAAAAAAAAAATCAAATTAAGAGACTTAAGCTAATATATAAACATCAAGCTGAACTTTTTCATAAATTTATTTATTTGATTGCTTCACAAGCCTTTCTCTAAACAAAAACCAGGAGTGCTAAAGGAGATATTTTTCAAAGAAGAAAAATGGCTGGAATATCACAAGATTGGGAGCCGGTGGTGATTCGCAAAAAAGCGCCGACCGCCGCCGCAAGAAAAGACGAGAAAGCAGTCAACGCCGCCCGTCGCGCCGGTGCTGAGATCGAAACCGTCAGAAAAGGTTCGTATAATCTCCCCATCTTAGCCTTATTATTCCTTTCTCTTCCCGATTAATTATTACTAATTCCTGCTCCTCTTTTTCGTGACCATTCTTTTTTTCTTTGGGACCAATTAGGGCTCTCAATTTTTTTTTCTCGGTCAGATTATCATAGCCCATTTCTACATGTACCCCTTTATCTCTAACCCTCTTTTTGGTGGAATGACTTCCATATCATTTGAATAAGAAATTTCACTGTTTAGCCAACCTTTTTAAAAATAGGTGTAAGAGAATCAATTATCTGCCTAAGCCTTAGTTGACAAAGTTACCCGGTAATTGTGTTGGCAAGAAGTAGCGCACAAGCTGGCTACACCACTATTAGAAAAGAGTGAATTAATTAGTGTTGTCTTCTAGATTCATTCTGTGTGTAGGTTAATATTTTTTGTCACAATTAGAAATTTCAATGCAGCAACGACAAACGCAGTGTAATCCCACAAGACAATTAGAAATTTCAATGTTAGGTAAATTTCCTCGTTTGATAAGTTCTTTGTTTTGTGTAGTCCAGACTTGCCTGTTTTTAGTAGCCTGAAATCCTATGTAAGGAACCATCTTGTGTATTCTCTACAATCAATTCAGTCAAATTCTCCTTTATTTTCTTTTCTATTAGTCTATTTTAACATTAGGAAAGACAGTGACTAAGTGTTACTTCAATTGCATTTTTCTTTTCTACTTTGTTTGCACTTGCATGTCGATTTCCCTTGATAACTCAAGTTGCGTATTCAGGGTCAGTAAGGTAATGACTCATTTATGTTGGAAGGCACCTACTTTTAAATAGAACGATATCTCTATATTCGCGTTAATATCAGTCCGCGCTATTTCATGAATCTTTTTATCTTATTTTATATACACACATTCACATATGTTCTCTGTGTTATGCCAATTGCTGGACTGTGTGTGCAAGACTTCATTGTTGGTCTGGATTTATTTTGCTGAAATGGATCCTTTAGTTGTGAAATGCCAAAATGTTTAGCGCTCACGACATTTATCCTTGACTGCAGCTACTGCAGGGTCAAACAAGGCTGCATCTAGCAGTACAACTTTGAACACCAGGAAGCTTGATGAGGATACCGAGAACTTGTCACGTAAGTTTGAGTTGACTTCTTTAATAATATCAATTAATATTAGAAACACTTCTATAAAACAATTACTGTGGTTATAAAGATACTGAGAACTTGTCGAGTAAGCTCTTCTTTTCTCCGGCCTATTATCTACCGTTTTCCGAACCGTGTGCCACTAGCCCTCCTGATTTCTCGGTTATAAAAAAAATTAGAGTTCTTCTCTGCTTTGGGAGTTCAAGTCATGCTTACATCCTGATTTCTCTGATGTGTATACTGTGTACTTTGTTTTACCTTCTTCATTTGCTGCATGGATGTGCGGTGTCAAATTTCACAAAGCACATTGTCTGCTTTGTGAATATAAAATTTGTTAGGACTCAATTAATTTGACAAGAAGACACCTTTTAGAGGTTTTTCCTTCTGGCAACAAATGGCGACATATTGCTAAAGTTGAAAAGTTTAATTGGTTTGCCACTGGAAAAAATAAAAAAGAAGATTTTCTCTTTTGGTGATGTCATCTGGTGTACTTTTCATTTTTGTTCTCAGATCAAAAGGTACCAACTGAATTGAAGAAAGCCATTATGCAAGCACGACAAGATAAGAAGTTGACTCAGTCTCAACTTGCCCAAGTATTTCTCTCTATCTCTTTCACGCCCTCCCCAATTCCTTTTCTTTAAAGCAATCTACGTATAGATAGAGTCAAGAGAGAGGTTTTATTCCTTGTATCAATATAATTTTGGCAATCCCTTTGTTTTGCAGTTGATAAACGAGAAACCACAAATCATTCAGGAGTACGAGTCTGGAAAGGCAATTCCAAACCAACAGATAATCTCTAAACTGGAGAGAGCTCTTGGTGCGAAACTGCGCGGAAAGAAATAAAGGTTGGAATAGTGAACCTGATAAAAAATAGTGAACCTTTTGAATTAGACTGTCTGTTTGTGTCCTAAAAGTGGTCATGTACATGAGCTTTTTTACTTTAACCACTATGGTATTTGTTGTATCTGGATTCATGAATGTGGTTTTCGTGGTTAACTTGGGTGTTTTTTCGTGTGGAAAATGAGGTGCTTACTCTTGTGGTGCGGATTCCTTTTGCGTTGTGATTCCTAGTTTCTTTTAAGGGATGTCTTCTTATGTCCTTCAATCAACTTCGATACTCATGCTAGGAATCCATTATAACGCCAAGGGCGATCTATTGGGGACACTTGACTACTTGGGGGAGGTACAACCATTTATGTTATGGGTGTCTTTGTTCGATATTTCTCCGTCTTTTCTATGCCCTTACCGATGTTTTAGGAGCTGCCACACTTGTATGCTTGTTCTAAACCAAAAAATAGAAAAGTCAGAGACCAAGTTTGGTGATTAAAGGTGCATAATGCGATATTTGTGTATAATGTACAGGTTTCTAGCTCTATGTGATATGGTTGTTGCCTATTGATCAGTCAATGGAATGTTATACCATCTTACTTGATAGTTCGTGAACCAGCAAAACTGAATGATGAAGTTGCTTTGGTTGACTTACTGTTAGTGTCAATACGGTGTTCGCCACACAACTTTTGTATATAGAAAGGATACAAGTATGTGACTCTTTTCAGTATTATCAAATCTTTTACAGCACAATTCAACTGACTGATTAGTGGCCAGCCTTTTTAGGTTTTTATATAGTATTTGTTTCTAACGATTGACGTGTAAATCTCCATCGAAGGAGAGGTTTCATGTGTAGAATAAATTGATTTAGGAATATCAACATCTTATCATTAGCTATCTAGAGGTTCAGTAAGTATAAAACTTGCACCTGAGTCAGTATACTTGTACATTTTAGAATGGATCACTTAAAAGGAGAACAAAAAGCACCGTAGTCGCCCATTTAAAACCATTTAAGTTCCTCGATAGGAACTCTATCAGCAATAGCTGAACCCAAAATGAGTTGGTTCACACAAGACACAACATACAAAAGTCAAGAATGCTCTGAAGACTAACGTAAATAAATCCATACGAGTTTAATTTCTAATACGCTGATACTGTAGAAAATTTTTTATACTATCACGTCGCTTAATAAAAGCAACTAACTATACAAATACCCATCTACTGAAAGGGAAATAAAATAAAACAAGTTACCTGCTACAATAACTTTAAAGTACACAAAATATTTTGAATTGAGCTTAAATATATTACTTTAAAGTTCTGCACTTAACTGATCTCAGAATCATTTCTCATGCCTCATCATATACTGATAGAACATCCCACAAGGCACATTACAACATCAGGCAGCGAAGCTATAAAGAATTTTTTTTTTATTTAATGGCTTTTATGCAGAGATGATTTTCACTAGTGACTAGTGACGTATCAAAAGCATTGAATTCTACATCTACTGCACCTTGATTCTTGAAAAAACTATCCGTCCATTCAATAATTTACACTTTCAAGTTTCACTTATCCGCCAACTGTTAACGTTTAGTTTTGCTAATAGGTGTTTAGGTAAGTTTATAAAGCTCGTCAAATTAGTTTTTAACTTTAACCTTTTATTGGTGTTTGCTGAAGTATTTTCAAACAATTGCTTTTAAACATGGGATAATAGTCAAATTTATTCCTAAACTATTCGAAATTGAGCAATTTTCTTCTCCGTTAGACTCTTGGTCAAATATTACTCCCTTCTTCTGTTAAGAAAAGGTTTTGTTGTTGCCTTGATTCCTAATGGGATACCAACCTAAGGATAATTTTAAACTCATAATTAAAAGTTGAACAGTAAATTTGTAGTTTCGTCAATAACAAGAGTAAGTATGAGATAATTTCCTAGTAAGGATAACATATATGCATGTGGGAAGACAAAATTGCTATAAAGGGGTGGAAAAAATGCAATAATCATTTCAACACTAAATTTTAGTATCTTACCTACTTCTTTGTAGATGATATTTTTTGTTTATGTTCCCTTTTGATATTTTGGTTGCTCCGTCTTGACCAAACTCTTTTTATCGATATTGATATCCTCTAGAATGTGCAATATATGGATTTTTGTGTGAGAAAATATACTGCAGACAAATATAGTACAACATTAGGGATTGTTTGTCTTTATGCTTTATTTATTATCATTGCAAAATGCAAATGTACTGAAAATTATTTGCAAACAAATTTAAAGCATTGTACTCGACCCAGGGAGTTAACGAAATGCTTAGGGAGTTCGTGTCGAGGTTTCAAATGGAAGGGATGGATCTGTCCCCGGTTGCGGACGATTGGGCTGTTCAAGCATTCACTCAAGGACTCAATCCCCAAAGCTCTTTGGCCTCACAGCAGCTGGAACAGAATTTGATAGAGTACCCAACGGTAACTTGGCCTGACGTCCATAACAGGTACCAATCGAAAATCAGAATGGAGGATGATCAGCTCGGCCCCCCTCTAGGTCCGTGTACCCATCAGAACTAATGAGAGCTCTAAAAGAGTAGTCGATCATGAACTAAGACCGAGCAGAGATCGGTACCAACCGTATAGCAGAGATCGATGGGGCAATGGATCCGGACGTAACCCAACGAGGAATGATAAAAAAGCGATCGAGGTCATAATAACTGGGGACTCATGAGAAAAAACGGTTTCAATAGGACAATCGGGACCAGGGAGGCACCGAGGTTATCGGAGTACACCTTCAACGTCGATACTGCTAGCATCGTATCAGCCATCGGACGCATCAAAGACACCAAATGGCCTCGGCCATTACAATCCGATCCTGCCCAAAGAGACCCCAACCTGATGTGTAAGTACCATGGCACCTACGGTCACATGACCGAAGACTGCCGACATCTAAGGGAAGAAATGACCTGGTTATTCAATAACGGACACCTCCGAAAATTTCTAAGTGATCGAGCCAAAAATCACTTTAAGAACAGGGACTCTAGTAAGCAGGACGAGAAAAAGGAACCTCAACACGTCATCAATATGATCATTAGTGGAGTCGACATCCCCCAGGGACCAATGCTGAAGCACACTAAGGTGTCCATTACAAGGAAAAAATGAACCCGAGATTACATGCCGAAGAGGACCTTCTCTTTCAATGATGAAGATGTTGTAGGCATCGTGAGACCACATAACGATGCCCTGATAATTTCTGTACTCATAAATAAATCTCGAGTTAAGCGTGTGTTGATTGATCCAGGTAGCTCGGCCAATATCATCAGATCTAGGGTCGTAGAGCAGTTGGGTCTGCAAGACCAAATAGTTCCCGCAGTCCGGGTCTTAAACAGATTCAACATGGCATGTGAAACTACTAAAGGGGAGATAACCCTGCCGGTGAACAGCATCAGAACTATTCAGGAAACGAAGTTCTACGTCATCGGGGAGGGGATATGAGGTACAACGCTCTATTCGGAAGGCCATGGATTCACAACATGAGGGAAATACCTTCGACACTGCACCAGGCATTCAAGTTCCCCACATCGGGAGGGATCAAAACAGTTTACGGAGAACAGCCGGCCGCAAAAGAAATGTTCGCGGTCGATGAGGTGATCCCGATATTTGCCCTCTCGACATCAAAGAACCCGGAGTCGGTTAGGAAGGAAGAAACTGAATAGCAAGCATCGACACCGGTCCCGACCGAACCGGAGAATCAACAAGCAGGCAAGGATGATGATTACAGAGTTCCCGGGTCGTTAATCGCTCATGATGATTCCGATGCCACCAAGTCAACGTCCGAGGAGCTGGAACAAGTCATATTGATCGAACATTTGCCCGATCGGAAGGTATACCTGGGCATAGGGTTAAATCCCGAGTTCAGGAAAGAACTCATTGAATTCCTTATAGCTAACATAGATTATTTCGCTTGGTCCCATTTTGATATGACAAGAATCCTGCCAGAAATAACTACTCACAAGCTAAGCTTGAATCCGAAGTTCCACCTGGTTAAACAGAAGAAGAGGCTTCAATACAAAGTCAAGCATAGATTCATAAAAGACGAGGTATCCAAACTCCTTAAAAATAGGTTCCATTCGGGAAGTTAAGTACCTAGATTGGTTAGCTAACATATTGGTAGTGCCTAAAAATGGAAATAAATTAAGAATGTGAGTAGATTACAAAGACTTGAATAAGGCATGCCCTAAAAACTCGTTTTCTTTGCCTAACATCGATCACATGATTGATGCGATGGCTAGCCACGAGATACTCAGCTTTCTCGATGCCTATTCCAGGTACAACCAAATCCGGATGGACCCGGGTGATCAAGAAAAAACTTCCTTCATCACTAAATTCGGCACCTATTGTTATAACGTAATGTCTTTCGGAGTAAAAAATGCCGGTGCCACTTACCAACGCCTAGTAAACCGGATGTTCGAAGAACAAATAGGAAAATTAATGGAAGTTTACAATGGCGACATGTTAGTTAAGTCCTTGCGAGCAGAGGACCATTTGGAACATTTACAGGAAACCTTTAACATACTGAAGAAATATAATATGAAGCTGAACCCAGAGAAATGCGCATTTGAGGTCGGGTCCGGGAAGTTCCTTGGATTCATGGTGTCTAACCGGGGGATCAAGATCAATCCCGATAAAATCAAAGCTATAGTAGACATCACCGTGGTGGACAATGTCAAAGCCATTTAAAGGCTAACCGGGCACATAGCCGCCCTGGGTCGGTTTATATCAACGTCCTCCGATAAAAGCCATCAGTTCTTCTCATTATTGAAGAAGAAGAATGATTTTTCGTGGACCCCGGAGTGCCATCAAGCTTTGGAAGAACTTAAATGGTACCTTTCGAGTCTACCTTTGCTTCATACTCCGAAGGTGGACGAGCAGTTGTACCTATACTTGGGTGTATCTAAGATAACGGTAAGTGGAGTCTTAGTCCGGGAAGAGGAAGGTACACAATTTCCTATCTACTATGTTAGCGGGACTCTAGGCAAGGCCGAAATAAGGTACCCTCACTTGGAGAAATTGGCGCTCGATTTGGTAAGTGCCTCCAGGAAGTTAAAGCCATATTTTTCAATGCCATCCTATATGTGTCGTAACTACTTACCCATTGAGGAACATAATGCACAAACCCGAGCTCTTGGGATGATTGGCCAAATGGACCGTGGAAATTAGCGGGTACGATATCTAATATCGACCCCGAACCGCCATCAAATCTCAAATTTTGGCAGACTTCGTGGCCGACTTCACGCCGTCCTTAATACCCGAAGTCGAAAAGGAATTATTGTTAATCTCGGGGACCTCTTCGGGAATCTGGTCCCTCTTTACGGATGATGTCTCAAACGCAAAGGGGTCCGGACTCGGCATTGTGTTGAAGCCGCCTACGGGTAACGTAGTTAGGCAATCTATTAGAACTGTGAAATTGACTAACAATGAGGCCGAGTATGAGGCCATGATTGCAGATCTCGAATTAGCTAAAAGCCCGGGGGCCTAAGTGATCGAAGCTAAATGAGGCTCTCTCCTGGTGGTAAATCAAGTCAATGGGACA